TTTAAAGAGGAAGACAATATTAAGTATACCAAAATTAATGGACAGTATCTTTGTTAATAATTGTCCGATTTTTACGATTTTTTGTTTTTGTTTTGTAAGTAATTTAGTAATCTTTCTAATTATCATGGGTACAATACAAGAAAATATTGCATACTAATATTGCATTTTTGAGTTATTTGCAAATAAAGTTTCTTTTCCTTCAAAACCTCATTTCCAGAAATTTCGGGAAGATGAGAAGGAGTAGAATATCTTCAAAATGAGTGGTTAATCATTGGATTTGATGAAGAATTTACAAAGTATTTGTTTATGATGTTTTTGCCTGCTGATAACTCCTCAGGATTTTATACTAATTCAATGTTACTATAAACGTTGGAAAACTGAATTATCTCTCTTCAAGACCGTATAAATAACTTTTTGATTTAATACGTCTATACAGAGGAATTAAATAAAAACTACTAACACGTTGTTTGTGTTGTTTCTTGTAGTTTATAAGGCCCAATATCTCTGCAAAATTTTCTGTGAATAGGTGGAAGAATATTGAAGTTATAACACTTTCAGCGATCTTCGAAAAAAAATGAAATTTGTAGAAAAAGAAGTTATTTTTCGATCGGAAAATTCGTATTCAAGGATCTTTCGGGCTGCGAAATACAAATCTCAAATCTGTTTTTCTCCTTAAAAAAATATTTCAACACACCTTCCGTCAATACAAATTGTTTAAATTATACATATTTCTCATCGATTTTTACGATTTTTTTTTTGTTTTGTAAATAATTTAGTAATCTTTCTAATTATCATGTGGAGAATCGATAAAAAAAATGTACACTTTTTGAGTTATTCGCAAATAAAGTTTATTTTCCTTCATAACTTTTTTTCCCAGAAATTTCGTGGCGATGGGAGTATTTTTCACATGTGAAGGAGAAGAATATCTTCAAAATGAGTGGTCAATCATTGGATTTGATGAAGAATTTACGGAGTTATGGCGTACCGACAAAAAAACACCTTTTAGAAATAATATATAGGATAGAAGAGCAATGGTGAGGTTATATTAATAGACAAAGGTTACGTGAAGGTGAAAAAATACAGTACGTACAACCATCCTTTATAAGAGTTTAGTATTTTTTTATTTTTATTTGTTTTTTTTTTTTTTTTTTTTTAAATACTATAATGAATATGAAATGATGTATATTGCACAGTCTTATTAAGTAACATTTCATAACGATAATCATTAAGACTTATTATGAATTATCTCTTAGTGAAATCTTACTATTGGGCACTATATTTGATAAATAAAATGATTCGAGTCATTTTGGAGGATTTAACGTGTTTTAATTGATTAATAAGTTCTAATTACAAACAAGTTCTAAAAATATATGTCTGAAACGTCTTCTTAATATACATACGTACAATTATTTATTAATTTATATTTTAATATGGAAAGGCATAAACGTTAATAGTACTGTGAAAACAACAGTCATAAATTTACGAAAATTTTCATAATTTATTCACTACCTGATTATATAATAACGAAAATACATTTGTAAAAATCCTAAATTAAATGAGTAATATTACATGTTAAATTCAAAGGATGGCTTAAAACAGCTACCAAGGACATGACCTCAAAGAGAAGCATACTGATGATCACAAATGATCATTTGTTCCTGATAATGGCTTCCGGGTCGTGAAAAATAAAAAAACATGAAAAATAAAATCCTCAAGTGAAATATGCGAATTTGTATTATTCTCAGTTAACGAATTCAGCAATTTAAACTCTTGTTTCAAAAATGGCTTTGAAGAGTTTTGAAAAACAGGACGATATTTCTTGTCAGAAATTTTAATAATAACGGTTTTTACTACTACATTCTATAACTCAAAGAAGCAAAATATTATTTATGACAATCGCTTAGCTCAACTTCGAAAAATCCTGAATCCTGAATATAGACTAAAGTATTACATCGTAAAATCGAAAATGCGAAAATATTACATTATTTATCCATAAGTATAAAGTTGTTTTTCGTTATAATTTTATTAATTACAAGCTTTACCCGACCACGCGTTGCTGTGGCTTAGTCTAGCCAAATGGAAAATAAAAAGTCCAGGTATTCCAGAAGTATGTTAATACTTTCCCAACATGCAGGGAAAAAATATAAAAATTGAAGTCAGTGTATACCTAGATAAGGATTTCGTAAATAACTTCTTCAAATCAAAATTTTAATTACTTGAGAGAATGTAAAGTTTTCGATTAATCAAAAACAAAGATTAACGAAATCGTCTTTTCAGAAGATAAATTACTAACTGTTTAATTAAAACACTATATCTGAGCACCAAATCGTCCGATTTCGATGATTATTTTTTTTTAATTTGTAAGGAATTCAGACAGCTTTGAAATAAGCTAACAATAATTTTGTACTTTTTGAGTTAATCGAAAATATAGTTCTGAACCAATTGTAACTTTTTTCCATCCTATTTTCGGTTAAGCACATTATATACATCAATTAAAAGGGCTTTAAGCAGAATATTTTTTCATTCAAATTAAAATTCATTCAAATCGCTCCAGCTGTTTAGGCTATAGTTTTAAACGACACACGTTCTTCAGCCGAATTTCCGAAACGAAAGGCTGAATGGTAATTTAATGTATACAAAAACATTAATGAATCCGATAGAAATGTTTGTGTCAAAATTTCAAAAGCAATCGGTGAATAATTTTCGGAGATAAGCGGTTACGTGCAAACGATAAAAATAAAAATTTACATTTTTATTTATATACATTATATATTATTTTAATCTCTTTTATTGTTAGACATATAAGAAATATTATTTAATGAATTTATGAATGAATGAATATTATTTAATGTTAGACATATAATAAATAAAATATTTTAGCCGGTATCATTTTTTAAACCATTCAAAAATATACGATCCAATATAAAGCCAAGATATTTATTAGTTCGAAAAATATTATTATATATTTAACTATGTAGGTGGATAGGGTAAGGGGTTTTAGGACGATAAATTGCAGGATTATTACGCCCATTTAACTATGTAACAAATATTACGGACGGATCTTATGAATTTCCGGATGTTAAGACACGAGCGTAAATAATCATTATATCTGATAAAAAGTTTTCGGACCCCTAGGACCGATACCGTGCTAGACTGATAAAAAATGTTTTCTCTACAGTACCACCTCCGATACATATTTATTACACATTGCACATGCATGGTCTTGTCTTTTTTGGGCTTCTCTCGCGCAGTAACTCTTGAGAGTTCATCTTAGACTGTTCCTCTTGCATATTTAACACGTATAAGTAAATAAATAATAAATAACATGCATATAAATAGTATATAAATTATATCTATAAAATTACAATTATATGTAATAAGTAACCTTTTACTCATTTTATTTTCAATATTTCACATTTATACCCCTAAGAATAAATTTTTTTTACTGAAATAAAGAGAAATAATAAAAAAACTCGTCATATAAACGGCATCGGACGTCGGAGTCCACTCCTACGTTTGATGACCATTTATGAAGACACAATCAACGGATAGAGACTCTGAATAGAGAATTTAGTTCACGTTTGTTGTCAAAAAATAGCGGTATACCTGGAAACTGATGCATATCTCCGGAGTACGATGCCGTTAGGAACTTCATAAGTAGTGTCGGTCGCCGCGGACCGATATTGTCGAGAAAGACGTTAAGTGATATATTTTTTGGATTTATTTTAATAATGCATACATTGCTAACTCCTGTATTGGTCAGAAGCATATTTAATTATTTATCAGCTTAAAAATTAACGAAATTTCTTCCCACCTTCCAATTCAATTTAAGAACTGAATATTTTTTAACAATTCTTTATTTATTTTTTTTTGTAAATACAAATTAATTTAAATACTAAAATCAAAACACTCGCTCACTATTTATCTATCGGCGACGAAAATACACTTTGTTGGGTAAAAGCTCAAAAAAGAGAGAGAGCGATTCTATCTATCCATCACATCATAAATATTTCTTTACGTCAGAGTCGATGATTCTCTTCAAGAAGAATCTTATTTGCGATAAAATATTCATCTATCAACGCCAGTTGTTTGGCAAACCTTAACCTTCAAAGTTGACTTTATCTTACCATATCGGGTTTCTTGAATAGAGAATAAACACGTGTAATAAGTTGATGACATCCTCAGCTCGGCATGAATCCATCATAGTTATATCGGAGAATTTTCTTCTCTTGAATAAATAAAGCCAATTCATCCAACTTACATCCTTCTTTTGAGACGCCAAGAGGGATTATCAGGAATCGAGGAAGAAGCAAGGTTTGAAACGAGAGGTTTCGAATGGTTCTGCAGTTTGTTATGGAAGGATACGTATGTGGATTGGGCCGAACAGAAAACATATGGAACATTAAGGTCTTTATGGATGATTATATTTGTGACAAAGTAAGGAGCGTTGAGGATTTTACGAAGGATTTTGGATTGTAAGGATTGGATACGAGAGGAATTCGATGGTTTAGTGGAGCCCCAAAGCTCAATGACATAAGTCAAAATAGGTCATATTATTGTCATATATATATGAGTCGTTTGTAATTGATTGAAAGCTTAGAGCGTTTGTCTAGTAAGTGTTGGAGTAGTCGGAAACGTCCAGAGATTTCTTGTCATTTCAGTCTTCTATGAGGATTCCATGTGAGTCGTTTGTCCAGGTGGAGTCCTAGGTAACGGATTTTTTCAACTAGGATATGTGGGGAATTGTTAAAGAATGCTGTAGGACAGGAGGTTATAGGTCTGCGACGTAGGGTAAAGGTAATTTGATGGGATTCATTTGAATTAATTTTAATTCTCCAGTTTTTACACCTCGATCGCAGATTTAAATAATAAAATTGAGGGATGAGGGATATCATTCAGTTTTGGCACAACTTTTTTCTAATGCTCTCCGTTTTCATGTTTACATTCCACTAATATATATATTTTTTTTATTTCTGTTTCAGAAAACATAAAATGCCGACTCACCTGAATACTCCTAGAAGCGGCGAATGAACGGAGTCTCCGTCGTAGATGTAGAGGTAATCCCAGCCGCATTCTGTCGCGAACTCATCGATGTGGAGCCTGATGGAGGCGTTGGGCACCGCACTGCCGTCTATCAGCCAGGAGCACTTGACGTCTATCGAGTAATTCCCCAGGCCATCGTAGATATATCCCGATGTTGCCGAGAGCCTGCAAAAATATATTTCAATTAGTAAAGGATAAAGGAATAGAACTATATATTATGCAGATGTGCAGTTTTAAATTATTTAGTCAAACCATCAATAATAATAAATCAGCTAAACAAAAACAGTAATACGAATTTTAAACTTAACCATTACATCAGTTGAATCAATTACAGCATTTTAAAAAAAAATTAAACAACAACCCATGTTGATCAAATAGTTCTTGAGTCCGATAGTTTTAAGGAAGTACTTTCTCAAGGCCAACGGTTGTGGAGGGAGATGAATAGGCTGAGATTACACTCAGCTAAGTTTTCCCCCTTAATTAATTATTCAATTAAGAGTATCTACTTTAAAGAGGCTGCGTTTTCTTCAGGAGTCCTGATCTCAGAGTCGATCCACAACTAATTTCACAATTATCTGCCACAGCAGGACTCGAACCAGGGCTATTCTACTAATTCCAGCTTCTTTTTTTTTCACGTGGACAATTATTATAGTGATACATGAATACATTCACATCATATATACAGAAAACATAAAACTAAATAATAATCAAAGACTATGTACAATAAAAAATAAAATAACCTAATGAAGTAAATTAAAAACATACAAACTCAGCCATACCTACATACAATATATAATATCAGGCAGGGAATCCCAAGGGATGATGAAGAAAACAGACCTTACCCTTCCTAATCTTTCCATGGGTTTTGGAAAACATCAAGATTTTTATATTGTTGGTATTGATTTGTCAAAAAAAACTGTACATCCTCACCAAATATTGAATCCAAAACACTTTATGAGCTGTTATGTACTTTTTTACTATTTGAACAGGTTTAATTAATTCGATTTTTACTAAGAAAAATATTTCAGAAACATAAAACAATGCTTAATTGTTTAAGTTAAATTAAATACATATTATCGGTGTTGCAACTAAAGTCTCGGATAGTGCAGTGCAAACAATCGCTTAGAAGACCACACCAGACATTTAAAGACAAGGTATGTTGGTAATGTCCAACAGCAGTCGTATGAGGGTTTTCTTCAGCTCAAGTATGGGTATTTCGAAAAATAAAAATCCCGTTTCTTGTAAAGCAAGATTCATCAGCAACCAAAATGCAGTTCAGGAAGTTAGGATCTCGTGTACATTGTCGAATTAACCACTGGGAGAAATTTCTGCGCTTATTATAATCTTGTGGTAACAAATCTTGCTTATGCGATACGTGAAATGGTTACAATTGTTGTTCGCGCAAAGTTCGCCATACGCTGGTAGAGGAAACATCGAAACGACGTGACAATCTTCTGGAACTAGTAGTAGGAGATAATTGAACAGCATCGACTATTTCTTCTTCAACGTGGCAATCATTGTCAACCGGCGTTTACTCGTAAAGGTGTTAGCGTGCCATTATGCGTCTTTCAATGGCCTCAAACGTTTTACGATTTGGTATTCTTCGGTTAGAATATTTTTCACGATATCTTCCAACAGCAGCAACACCGTTTCTATGTACCTCGCCATAAGTTAAAAGCATGTTTGTTTGTTCTGCAAAAGTGAATAAATTTATGGTGTCTCCCATGATAATCATAAATTGAACTGTGTCACAGTATTCACTCACAGTAAAACAAACAGAACTAGACAAACAGATGAGCAACTACTGTCATTGCTTATCGTTCATTTGTTTATCAGGTGATTAAAACCTGTTATTTGGTATTAAACACGTTAAACTTTGAATAGTCAGTCTTAATGTAGTAAATAAATAATAAATCTTTAACCTTCAATATCTGTTTAAAAAATGAGTTTGAGATATATGTAAATATGAACTTTTTTGTTTATTTTATGTTCGTGAACACATACCTAAAATAATGCCGTACAATTACGAAACACTCCTATATTATTACTGAATATATATCTCATTTCCAGCTCTCAGGAGTAATTATATTAGGAGTGAAATAAAAGTGAATGTTAAATTGGGAGGTTTGGTGATGGTGTCAAGTCTAGACGTTACAATGAATTCATAATTTGCTAATAACTCGAAAAGTACACAATTGTGGTATTTAAAAGCCTAAAGGTATTAGAAAGCTTACTAAATTTCCTGCAAAATAAAAAAAATCATCGAAATCGGACGATTTGGTGAAAAGTTATATATATGGTGCTTCAATTACATTACCTGTTACTTTAAGATCCTAATTATTAAAGTTTTAGTACGTGGTAGTCCTTTTTATCGAATTATTATATCCATCTGAAACTTCGTAAATAGTTCCATCTCATCGTAACCTACAACTATTTTATTTATGGAAACTCTTGGAATTGGGACGTTTTAAATCTGGAGATGGGCAAACTTTGTCTATTTAATTAGGTACTAAAAACTCCTAAATACTCATTTGCTTTCTACTTGAATCGTAAGATAATTTGATGATAAAATGTGGCCTACAAAAATATTGGGCCGTTTGTCCAACATAACATCGTTATTTCGAAAATTTCAGGGTATAGGTCGCGCCAAATGGCTCTATATTTTTTAAGGCCACCTTTTTTTCTCAATTTTGTGATCAAATTATCTTACGATAGAATAAAATAGTTGTAGGTTACGATGAGATGAAACTATTCACGAAGTTTTAGGCGGATATTAATAATTTGATAAAAAAGGGTCTGTACAAAGGACTATTTATCATTTTGAAAATTCACTTAATGTTTCGAGTATTTTAATTAAGTAACACATTGTCCATTACGTCTCATAAATGCTTTCTGAGAATTTGAACCTTTTTTGTTTTGCCTTTTACCGTCATCAGATATTTAAAGCAATTTTTAGAACCTCTTCTAAATGTATGATTATCCAGTGCTAGAAAAAGCTAATATTTAAGTTATTAGTTTAATGAAACAAACAAGAGTTAATCATGGCAGAGTGTAGATCATATTTATGAACTGACAGCTTACTAAATGTATGTATTAAACATTAATTAAAATCTGATGAAAATATACCTTTATATTTTTTTTTGTGTGCAGTATTCGCACGGGTCAGCTAGTTCGGATAATTGCTTATAAATGGGGGGGGGGAGGGAATACTGATGTTTTGATAACAGAGTTTAATAATTTAAATGCCTCCTCCTAAAAACAAATAGCCGTAGCTAATGTAAAATAACTCTCATTCCAGCGAGAGGAAATGAGGCAATGGCGATAATATTCTTATAATGACGCCTAATTAACTAAAAAAAAAGAACTTGAATCGCAATTATTGCAACAATTTAGTCGGGGGGAAGGGAGGCTGTGGGGTTGAGAGATAGACAGAGAAAACAGGGTGAGATTGTTAATGCTAAACCGCGGTTATCAGTCAAGAATGTTATAGCACTAAATAATTTGTATTAATTTTCATCATTAGGTATGTAAAGTGGTGATAACAATAAAAAAAAAAATCTTAGTTGTACTAGTGGTTCCTTAATGACTAAGATTATTAATTATTTAAATTTTAATACCAAGATGGCCTCGAGATCTCCTTTTGTAAATACATTTTTAGAGTGCTACCAGTGGGTAGTTTCTGAACAAGTGACATCATGTTATTATATTCTTGTGTTCACATTTACTGAATGTATTTTTACTTGTAATACAGTTGTAAATATCCTCAATAAAAAAAATTAATACATCTACTATGTGATCCATTTCTGGAAATTAAATAACTTCAGACATTACTCATTTATAAATTTCGATAATTCAGGTGTTATTTCAAATTTGAGTCGATACAAAAATATCTCATATCCTATGAGTTAAATTATAATTATATAACATTCAATTATAACAATTAAAATAAGCTTTTATTTTTTCTAAAATACAGTAAATCCATTACAATAGAAAAGTCAATGTTTCCATTCTCCTAATTGAGAGAAAAAAAGGTACAATTTTCATGTTCATTGTCGAATTTTCAAACGTACACTATTTCAACGTCTACATGATTCTTAAAAACAGAATATTTTAACAGCTATGAAAAATTTGAGTCAGGAGGAAACGCAATTCTGTTTCACACAACAATAATTTTATTATACATAAAAAAGGTTTGTGTAACGCTAGATTTGATGCTATTTTTGAATAAAATATTATTTCGAGACTGGTGCCATTGAAGATAAATATTATCTTCGATTGCTAATTAGTAAAAGTGTCCCTCTTTTTAAGGCATGGTGTTGTGTAGGCTATAAATATAATGTGGGGCGCGTGTCAGCAATAATGTGCCTATGTCACAGCTAATAAAAAAATTTATTATATAACTTCGAAGCCCGATAAAGATAAAAAAAAATAAAATGACGTAATCAACGTTACCCAGCCAACGAAGTCTAGGCCTGCCTTTTTTTTTTTTTATCATTCCGGTGTACCCCTATCATCAATTTAGGGACATGATATGTTTCATTCTTTGCACGTGACCCAGAAACCTTATTCTTCTCCTCTTTATCGTGGATATAATATATATCTCACTCTCTCTCTCTCTCTCTCTCTCCTTCTCTCTCTTTCTCTCTCTCTCTCTCTCTCTCTCTATATATATATATATATATATATATATATATATATATTAGTCTTACTTCATTAGTCTTCATCTGCCAGTGATTTCTTTTTTGGTTGGGTCATAGATTTTACGAAGGATTTTTCTTTCCCACATGTTCAATAGCTTCTATCCATGGAAGTGTCCAGTACTTGCTTCCATATATTCCATTCAATCTAATTGAATGTGGATAAAGCTTCAAGTTCTATTTAACAAAGTTAAATAGAACCTATGTACAAATATTTTGGTTGAAAATATCGAGTTTAGTAACATGACTAAATTAATTTTTTTTAAAAATTAAAATGAGCTTTTCCGGTCAATCTTTTTTTCTTCATTATCCACAGTGTGTTGCTGTGTTACAATCATCACAATCGCACTTGAACAATGATACACTCATTGATCAAATTGTGTGCCAGTTATTAATATCACATGAAGCATCGGTATGATGCAATTTCAAAAGAACAAAACCTATTTAAGTTTGAACGTAACCGAAGCCTGTCAGCTCTTTTCGTTCTAAAATAGTTAGATTTCATACTTTCTTAATTTTTAAATTAGAAATAAGAAATAACCATATTATGGGAAAGTATTTGTTAAATCTGTATATTATAAAAAAAAAACCTGTACCACTACAACCCATGAAGGGTCTGGGGTTCAGTACTATTCAGGGAAAGCACTGTTTCTAGGTCAACGGTTGTGCAAGGAGGTGATTAGACCGAGATCACGTTCAACCGCCAGGTTTTCCCCATTAATTAATTATTTAATTAAAGGTACCCACTTTATAGAGGCTGGGTGTGCCCCAGGAGGGACTTCTGACCCAAGGTCGTCCCACGGCCAATGAAACAGATAAATAAATTTTCTGCCATGAGCCGGGGTTCGAACTCGGGACTTTTGCATTGGAAGCTCAGTGCCCTACCATAGAGCTACCCCGCTCCCTATATTATAAAGTATATTATAAAGTTAAATATAAATCAACTATAAAAATATTGCAATGTATTAATAAAATGAAAACAAATATATATCGCAAAAGTCTAGCGCAAAGAGAATAAACACGTGAAAAAGGCACATACAAACTTTTAGCAATAAAAGTAGCGATATTAAAAAAAAAAATCAAAATAGTTATATGTTGAGTTTTATTCTCCTAGTGAATTGCCTATATTCTAAAATAATTAAATAAACAATATAACATTACAGTAATTAAAGAAGGCAATGTCAGAGCTAAAATCTATTCCACTAGTCAATAAAGAAAATATTTTTTAATCAAAAATAGCTATTTTCAACGGAGCTTTGACTGTTGAACACAAATACCACCAACAATTTGTCATCGTTTTTGGTTAGCAAAAAAATCAGCCTAGAGTATGCCTGCATTTTACTAGATTATTATATTTGTAATTAAAATTACAATTAAATAACAAGATGAATCGACAGGAAAAACCTTCAAGCGTGGTGAATGAAAATGTCTAAAATTAGCTATGGTCTATCCGAAAACCTCTGTCTCTTCCATGCACATCGGGCTGGAATTGGTAAGGAACTTCGTTAAAGTTCTGGACCAGTACAGAGAAGCTTTCAGGTCTTGAAAGGGAAGCCCTAACCGCCTTAGTGAAGTAAGGTCAAGGTATAAATTTTCAGTGGACATCAAATTCGAAAAGATGGTAACTTTGATCGTGCACTGGAGGGAAACGAAAAGGCAGGTTAAGAAGTATTTAAAGATGCGGTGTATCGATTTATGGGAAAAATTATAGACAATAAATATGATAGTTTATCAAAAATATAGAAAGAAAAAAAGTCAATTTTATTTGGAGACATTTAATCTCCTAAGAATAACACAGTGAACAAAAAAAAAAAATGAAAATTGTCTGGTACTATAAGAAAATAAAAATAATTAGTTAACATAACATAAAATAAGTGATGCCCAAATACGAGACCGAGACGAGTCATGGTCTTGCGCAAGAGTCTCGCAACAGTCTTGCAGTTACTTATTACCTTATTATTGTAGAGATATCACTGTAATTTTTTAGATAGCAAAAACCTAACTAAGCCCGAATGAAGAATTAGAGGAGTTAAATGCAAAAGTATATTGGTTATACCAATTATTTACACATAGTAACTAAGATTGTCACTCCTACTTGGATTTTCCAAATACACCGAGCAACATTAAGTGATGAACACGTGGAAAGGTTCTACAAGACATTTTTCGATACAGCTGAGATATCAGTTCCGTCAGAATAAATCAAAGCTTGAGGATTCTATAAGATAGTCCCGTAGTTGACGTACGAGAGGAAGACCAAAAAGAAACGCACTTCCGAATTCACCACTGCATCCATAATAATGCATCCACAAAGAATATCGTAGTAAAAAAAAATTATTCTTTTTTTTCTACCCAAAATTAGTAAAAATATCTGCAACCATATCTGCCTTTTCCATTCATTTTCATACATTATAAGCGTGCAAAATTCAAGGAGATTCATAAAATATTTGAAGTAAAAGCCGAATTCAACCGATTAACGGGAACAAAGAACCGTTTCACAGTAGGTCACTGTAAGGTTTAAGCAAGACCCATGTCACCTGCCAACATAAGCACAGTACATTTGTCCACGACAATAGCCCCTACCTGTACCATTAGGGATAAATGGGAAATTGTCTTGTTATTACTGAATGGTATATACAGTTGTATCCCGATTATCTACAAAGCCGTTTATTCTTGACAAAAACTATTTAATTTTTGATGAGCGAAAAAAATACTTCAATACCACGCCATTTTTTTTTACTTTCAAGACTTTTGGACTTCCAGGCCAGGAAAAACAATGGACCAAATAAAATTATAAAAGTAATTACCCAATGAAATTACAATAAAAATAATACTATATTATTTTATTATTATATATTACTCGCAAAACTACTATATTATATAAAATAAAAATTAATTTTTCATGTGATTGATGTCCCATCCGAATATTTACATGAAGATGAGCAAGAAAAAATAGTTCAACCCTTTTTAACTAACATCTTTAACTCGGTTCATGATTAATCAACATTTTTTAAATTAAAAAAACAAATTAATAGCACAGTGAATAATAGCAAAGTATTTTCTAATGAGAAGAGAGGAAAAGGAAAAATACAACACTTGCATAATCATACTCTTTATACCCCAAGCTCAAAATTGAAGAAATATATCAATTAATCTTTTGATTGTAAAATTGAGGGGAGGGGTGGCCGAAGGGACTAAAGTGTGTGTACAGCACCGAACGTTGCCTGTAAACCTGATAGTCACATTTTTAACGATAACAATAAAATAAAAAAGTTCCTAATGAATAAATGGGATTTCATTTATTAATCTTGTTTAAACTTTAACGCAAATTTAATTTAATGTGAATTCTCATTTTTTACATTATAATATTAGTGTTCCGTGGTTGGTATCGTAGTAAAAAAAGTACTTTTTTTATTCAATCATTTTTGTTAATCATTTTTCAGTTCGTAGGTAGAAAAAATCTACTACTCACATCATGTGTTGTTTTAATAAATAAAATCAAACTGAAGGAAAGGTTTACTTTCAAGGAAAAAATTTCAGATATCTTCCATAAAATTTTGCTTAAGTTTGGACGGTGTTAACAAAGACTCGATTCATCCTAAAATAATTGAAGGAAGGAGAAAATCAAAGAGAAAAATTGATTTTCAGTTATTTGTTTCTTCGGTATTCTCTTTTTTCTTTTATCATATTTTATATTTTGTATTTCATTATTGATATCCTTTTTATTTAGATTAATTTTAACAACTGAATAAAATTATGTTAGCAAGCTAAGCATACCAGATCCAACAATGCACTTATCATGTTTATATTTTTTCAAATGAATGATTTTTTTAGATTTATACGGGGGTAAGGTAGCTCAGAGGGAGGTAAATTATTTATTTTATTTTGGTCAAATCAAATGGGTACCTTAGGTCAACTTTGTAGAAAAAAAAATTTCATTTTCCATCGCAATAGAAGTTCGTATTCCAGGGTCTTTCGAACTGCGAAATACAAATTTCAACTCCGTTTTTCCTTATAAAAATATTTAAACACACTTTGCTCCTAGGATCGGTTCAAATTGTTTTTAATTTATGAATTTCTAATCGATTTTCATGATTTCTTTTCTTCGTTTTGTAGAGAATTTAGTAAATTTTCAAATAATAATGAGTCTAATGACGAAAAAAATACTTTAAGTATAATAAGTATACCTTTTAAATAATTTGCAAATCAATTTTGAATATTTGATAGTTGGCCGTTGCATTATAAAGGAAGGAGATGGTCCGGGGTAGCGGTCATAAATGGGCTAAATAGTGGCAAAATTATTTCATTAAAAGCCAACGTTTCGATCCGACTTAGCAGGTCTTTTTCAGGGCTAGAACGGACAAGATACAAACAGATATAGAGAATTGTGGAAGTTACATAACATTTAGACAAAAAATTATAAACAATGTGAATAAGCTTATTAAAATTATAAACAGTAAATACATTAAAATATAAACAGAGTAAGCTAAGTAACAAGATCCTAAATTGAAGTGAATAGATGGTAACAATTGTTGTAGTATAATATATAATATATGTAAATATGAATATATTTCTACAGATTTACAGGAGAGATTGAAATAAAAGGAAAAAGAATATAATATGAAATAATAGACATAAAGGAATGTGAGGAAAGAAAAGAAAAAATAAATAAATAAAATTAGAATAATAAAAATAGAGATTTACAGGTGTATTCAACTAGGAGTTTCACATAGAACTGGAAAATCAGGGTAAGGGTAGGTGCTGGGGAATTCGCTAACCTGTTTGAGCAATGAGAAAAAACTCATTTTAATAAAATAGTTTTGTCACTATTTAGCCAATTTATGACCGCCACCCCGGACCATCTCCTTCCTTTGCAAATAAATTTTCTTTTCATTCATAACTTTTTTCCCTGAAATTTCTGGTTGATGTTACTATGATTAGTGACTGCTCCATTTAATAACCTTTCGTTTGATACCTCACCCATCAAAATCCATCGCTCCTGAGAGCCGGAAAAAGGATCGTTACGAAAAAAACTGTCGTATTATATCATAAGATAGATTATTTAGTGAGTAAACATCAAGATCCTCCAGGAAAAGAATGTATATTCTTTTCATTTAAATATCAAGATAAAATTATAAGATGATTAAATTATACTTCCTCAAAACAGAATCATAGTTGTGTACGGTTTCTGAACCGAAGATGCCGCGTTTCTTACCTTGGATACGGTCCAGTAAAGTTTAGATAACAGTGCATCTATTTCTTAGCAGTAGAGGATTTGGCCTGGTGCCAGAATAACCGAGAAAGTAGGATTGTTCCCGGATGGGAGTTTAAGACTTTTTTTTTTCTTATACGCAGGGCGGGGGTGGGATTTTATTAGGCTTGTTTTTGTTTTATGAGCGCCCATATGAGATGTCCCGAGAAATAGACTTTCCTTATTTCTTTTTCAGTAGCTGAATGATAGCGGGGAGTTGGAACAGAGGCATTTCATATTCGGGGTTGGAATGGTTGGATATTTCGGTTTATATGTTAATGAGAAGCGTGGTTTTGCTAAAAGATCCGTTCATAAACTGATTCAGTGTGTTAGTTACACAGGAAGAATGAAGGTTAATACCTACCTCCCCTGTGTAATTCCAATAATAAACAAACAGGATTTTTTTTATTATTTATTTATTTAAATTTACAACTTTATTAACCCAAAATAAAACATGTAAATGTGAATTGGTAGTGTTGCCCAAATTCAAAACCAAGACAAGTCTTGGTCTTGCGCACTTAGTCTTGCTCTTGGTCTTGGTATGCGCAAGAGTCTCACAGTTCCTTATTAACCTATTACTATAGAGACATTACTGTAATATTTCAGATAGGCGAAACCGGTAGGTATAAGCCCGAATGAAAACTTGGAAGAGTTAAATGCAAACGTATATTAGTTATACCAATTCTTTACATATAGTAACTAAAATTATAACTATTTAACTATTTTTCCTTAATTTTTATTCACAAAAACGATATTATTTTACTAGTCCTGGTCTTGGTCTTGCAACAGTCAGGTAGTCTTGGTCTTGGTCTTGTAGTTTGCAAGACCAAGACCGATTTCGGGCTACACTATGAATTAGTAATATGACAAGAAACAATACCCAACACTCCAACAGTTCTATAATAGAAGATTCGGAGAGTATCTTCATTTCAGACGCCCAGAAGTTTTGTAAACAATAAAATAAAAAAAACTTACCAAAGCAAACGCATAAACAAGCCAATATAAAAACGAACCACAAAAGCCTTAACTTGCAATAAATCAATTACAAAGAAATTAACCAAACAATTTCAAATTGTATACTATATGTTAGGAGTGTTGTGAACATAAAGATATTGAACTTAAGAGGAAAATAAAAATACTTTTTGAAAGTAAACTAGAGGTAAAGTGTAAATGTTGCTTTATATAATGGTTGAGCTCAAGTCAATCGACGTCCTCTATTTTTTACTTGTTTAACATAGACATAAACATACTTGTTTGTGTTTGGTAACGCATAGTTATCTTCGGTGATTTTTAAGTATTTTACAAAAAATAATTCTAGAAAAGATATTATGTAATTTATGCAGGTAAATTTCTATTC